CTCTAAGGTGCCATAAGTACTCCTGTTCTTTTTGCGGATACAGACTAACACGGCTGCTACTCTGAAACCCATTATTAGTAAATTGAAGTTCATAGGGAATTTAGAGAGTATACGTGACATGAAAGACTTGTTCCAAAGCTTAAGAGTGCCCAGAGCTCAGTACATTCCTTTTCTTAGTGGAGCTCGTAGTTTCTTGTTCACCTTTTAGTTATAGAACCAATCTTTAGTAAATACGTCTAATGGTAAGTTTAACTGTAGATGCCTCTGTTACCACTAGAGGGCAGAGATGCTTTAGTGTAATGAAAAATAACATCATGTAAACCAGTTAACTGCTTACTGACACTTTTTCCCCCCCTCTCCCACAGATCAAAACCTCCCCTGTCCAAACCAATTATGGAATCCCATTCTGGGGAGTCTTTTCTAATAGGTGAGTCGTTTTAAGTAAATCAGTAATGCACTGTCTTTTTTTAATCTCTTCACTTCAGTATGTGGGCAGGGTTTTAATGTTTTAAGCATTGTGTGAAGGGAGGGGTGAGAGAAGGGAGGCTATTCTTGTTAAAAAGTCTTCTCTCCAATGGGCCTTGGCATTCTCTCACAGTATTTTTTTCTTTACATTGTAATTATTTACTGATTATGCTTTCTTCTGATTCTTGGGAAGGGAAGACTACAGGTCTGTCTCATCTTACTCTGGGGTTGCATTCTGTGGTCAGTGCGTAAAGCGAAAACTGCGTATAGTCAAAATTACATTGAGTGTAATGGCGGGCGGAATCGCCCGCACTACAGGTACAGTATTTAAATTGTTATTTTTCTCTCTTTTTTTTTTTTGCCGACTGTGTAAAGCTGAATTTGCACATGTTAATTGCGCGTAAGATGCGACAGACCTGTATAAGGAATCACGCGTACAGTAGCTTGTATAAAAAAAAAATCTTCCCGGTGTTATCCCTGCATCTCTTCTTTTGTCTCCTTAATTACACAAGTCCTTTATCTGTATCTACCATCTGAACTGTACAATGAAGTCAGTCTGCATAGTCCATTCTCGGATGGTAGGGCCCGTCAATGTGTTTTTTGCAGCTTACATGCAAAGCCTGACTTTGGAAGTTCCGTTTCAAAGGGTCTACTTCCCACCCCCACCAAAAAAACTCCCTTCTGTAGCTAGTAGCACCAGTGCCAAAACAACTGTTTGCACCGTGGTATAGATAATTTGCTTTTAAATGATGGGCTGTATTACCTGTCTATCAAAAAAGCATACTGTGACTTGGCTGTCTCATTAGTGAGTCCTTGCATAGCAGTAGGCAGGGCTGGCTCTGGCTTTTTTGCCGCGCTAGGCAGAAAAGCCCCCCACCCCCCGGCCAGAGCGCCGGGAGCAGGGCGGAGAGCCCGGCCGGGGCTCTCCGCTCTCCCCCCGGCGGCCAGAGCGCCGGGAGCAGGGCGGAGAGCCCGGCCGGGGCTCTCCGCTCTCGGGCCGGAGCGCCCCGCCGCGCCGCCCCCCTCCAGGCGCCGCCCCAAGCACATGCTTGGTGGGCTGGTGCCTGGAGCCAGCCCTGGCAGTAGGTTGCACAGTTCAAAACTCTGTCCTTTGCTTTTGGATCACCAGGGCTCTGGGTGAGCCGTACTCAGGCCTTGGGTGGGAGAATGTTGCACTGTAGTGACAGCTGTAGACTTGTCCCAACACTAGTTAATCTGCTTCAGTAGAAATGGGTCCATGGAAGCCTCACGGAAGGGGGCTGTCCTGCACACAGTGCTACCAGATGATGTGCTTTGTGATGAAAATAGTCCTATTGACTTGGTTAATAAGGCCTATTCTCAGTAAGTGTGTGCAATACTCAAAAGGAGAGCGTGTACTAATAGTAGCAAGGTCTGCTGCCAGCTCCAAAAGCAGATAGAAGGTGGGCTGTATCCCAGAGATCCCTGGAGCTTTAAATCAAGAGGATGTTGATAAATTAGAGCGGGTTCAGAGACGAGCTGGGAGAATAATTAAAAGATTTGGAAAACCTACCTTACAGTGATGAGCTCCTTAAGTCTAAATGGTTTATCTTAACAAAGAGAAGGTTAAGGGATAGTTTTAATCAGTCTGTAAGCATCAAACTTCAGTTTACGGTGTAGATAAAGGGCTCTTCAATCTAGCAAAGAAAAGCATAACAAGATTCAATGGTGGGAAGGTGAAGCAAGACAAATTCAGATTGGATATAAAATGCGTATTTTTTACCAGTGAGGATAATTAACCATAATTAACCATATGGCCAGTGTTAAACTAGATGATCACAGTGGTCCCTTCTGCTTTTATAATCTGTTAATCTGAATTTGAGTTCATAATCTTGAAATGAAGTGATTTGGAATAGGTAATGTTTGTTGATGTGCTCAAATTATCATCTCCTTAACTATCCAACATTTTGCATGTCATTTGAACGGCAGGTTGTTCAGTTGTGAATTCTGTTCTTGAGAGGTGAAAACCTAGTGCCATTTATCAGTGAAGGTAACAAGCTGCCTCTTGTTCTTCTCACTAGGAGATGGTTGATGTCGTGAAATGAAAATATCCAAATTATTGGTTCTTTTTAACCCAAGTCCCAAAATGACTACTGTGATATAGACAAGCTTTTTGTTGGGTCAGAAATCCACCCCAATTAGAGTGCAACAAGATGAAACATTGCATGAGAAGTCACTCAGAAAAATCTGTTATATGATATCAATCTGTAGTTCTTATCTTGGTATCAATGTGTTTTAGCTATGCACTAGTAAAATTAATTGTACGCATGAAGTCACAAACAGCATATTGTAATCAAGATCTGTTAGATAGCATTACTGTGTGACTGTAACATCATTTCTCTGCGATTGCCAGACATTGGCAGTTAGTTTGTGTCTGCTGTATGTGCTGATTCCTCAGTTATTTTTCCAAAGCAATTAAAATTCTAACCTTTTTTTTTTTAATGTTGGATTTTCTCCTATGTTGGTTCAGCCCTAGAAAGTTGGACATCCTGATTCTAATTGATGGCTACCATAATATAAATATTAGGCCATTGAGGAACTCTCCTATGGAGTCCTGGTTTAAATTAGCACTTGCTGAAATGCCCGACCTCTGGGAATGCAAACTGTCCCAGGGATCCTAATCCAGGAGAAGTGCTGGATGTCAGTACCACAGAAGTTAAACTGATGGAACAATACTCTCCAGGGATTTTGGACTCTTATTGTGGTCTTCACTTTAACTTTGCTGGTATTGGCATCCAGCATTTCTCCTGGATAACTTTCTTCCTCTTAGGTCAACTCCATGCTGTTGCCCCTTGTACGTAAATCACTCCTATGATGTATGCTTTGGCATCTGCTACTTCAGTTGATGAAAAATAACCTCTGACCTGCCTCTTGTCCTGTCGCCTCTTTCCATTCCACAAGCATTTAAATGTTTCTAGTTCTTTCTTGGGACACGTGCCAACAGATGAATTTTCTTGGTCCCAGGACAGCATGTTTCTTCCTTGTCATTTCCTTCCATGAAGGGGTTGCAGTCTGAGAATAGATGTCTGAGGGAAGAGCTCCATAGCTTGCTGAATTGTACAGCTGTTTGGAGGCACTGTGTTGACACTTGGATGTTTGGTCACTTGAATGCATTGTTAGTTTTCTCTTGAAGTCCAGGATCAACGTGGCGGCGTTATTAAAGTAACGTTAGGAGGATTGTTCTCCACTTTGTCGGCATTAGCTCGAACTTTCTCGGCGCTCTGTCTCACCGCGCCACTTGTGTGGATTCCCGCTCTTTAATTAGCTGGTGCCCTGTCTAGACTTGGGTGCAGCTTTTTTGCCCATGCATTTCCAAGTTTTGTTCATTACCAAATGCAGAGGTCTTCAGATGTTGAATCCTTGCTGTCTAATCTGCATATCTTTCATTGGGGAGGGTCCTGTGATTGTATGACAGCAAGAGAACTGGGTTACTTTTCATTCTTAAAGTCTGTTCACTCTTTCAGTTGTAGCCAATGTTTGGGACCAAATTCTTCAATTCTTAGTCTTGTTATACTTTATCCAGGGGGCTCTTTCTTGATCCCCTCAGATGTTTGTGTTCTGGATGCATGGATTCACAAAAATTTGTGACGTAGGTATTGATTTCCATGGTTCATTCCCCTTGTGGTATTTCAGGTGGTACTCCTCTTCATTTGTCACATTGCTGATGGGAGTAAGCTATTCATTGTGGCTGTCCTGGAAAGTGCTGCATTTTCTCATCCTTCAGTAAACGGAGAGGCTAGAGTATTGATTATTTTCTTTTCTTAAATAATTATACAGAACTCAAGCCTCAGGCCATTGCCCCATATGTAAACATACTGAGTGAAAGAAACCCACTTTCAGGGGAAGGATACACATTGCAAAGGTATAAATTATTTAATACAAACTACTCTGAAGCTTTGCTATGGTTGGATGTGTGTATCTTACTCAGATTGCATGGAACTGAAACACAACTGTTACAGTTGTTTCAAAATTGAACACATAGAGGCACAAATCAATAAATGTCCTTGCAAAAGAAAATGGGAGTGGGAGAAAACGGGGGAAACAGCACATAAGCTATTGTAGTCCGCTAACAAACCAGGATGGGTCAAAGCCCAAAGTTAGTTGCATATTTCTACCAGTGAAAATGCTGAAGCTTAAATAAACCCCTCAATCTTAGATGGTGACTTTTTCACTTTAAAGCCCAACTGCTTCATCTTCTAGTTGCATACAGCGAACTCTTTCATCTGTTTTGGTTGCCAACGTAAGATACTAAAAGAGCCATGTGCTTAGTTGTCTGTCCCAATCTTCCTAATAACGGTGTGTGGCAGGTCTATTGAAAAGTGATCCACAGAAAATAAAAGCCTCTTCCAAAGAAATATTTCAGCTTTTGGAGGGGAAGAGTGCATGCTTTTCCCGACTTGGAAATATTCACAAGCAGGGCCTGAAACAGGAAGCCTTATTCCTTCAATTTCTCAATCACCTTTTGTTCTTGCCCACCTCTCCACTGTGTGCCGTGGGGGAGATTCGTTCAGGGTTGCAGCTCTCTGGCCCAGCATCGGGGGAGAAAGCTCTCAAGCCACACTCCTTGGCTGGTGGAAGGAGCCTGCTTGTCAAACTTCTGGGCAACTGTGAGCTCTTCTTCCCAAGGGGAAGGTTATTGTGATGTGAGACCTTTGGAGGAGCAAGGCAGATAGTGAAAGCAGAAGCAGTGGAAGTTCCTTGCATTAAAGAGAGCTGGAATCCACTTCACTTGACTAAACTTTCTGTTCATAAATCCCAGGACTCAGACCAGTCAAGACAATATGACCGCAGTGCCAAGATGCTGTTTGTTTTTTCTTTTTGTGCTGCGCTACAGGTTGCTGTGTGTTATGCTAAAATGTGTTCAGATTTGTTCTGCTTCACTAGTATGAACTGTAAATCTGGAGCTCTCTAAATGGGATGTTAAGTAATATAATAACATTGCCATGTGGTGGCAAAGCGCAATGCCAGTTTGTGATGTTTTCCGCAGCTGTTTATAGCCTGACTTTGACTTTTGGCCTCAGAGCTCAGAGCAATATAAACAATATAGCCCCCTTACCTTGCCTTGGGTAAGTTTCCAGTATATAATTACAGAAGGATGTTAATCTGTCCATTTAAAAGGGTTTAAGCTTGATTTTTATCATATACCTTCACTATTAGTTTTACTAAAACCGGACTAATTCTTCTTAAAATTTACATGGCATATCTCTTCCAAAGTTAGAATTTTTGTAGAGATCTTGGGGAAAATCCTACAAGGAATTTCAGAGAGATGGTGGTTTAAAAACTTTTGCTTGCTTTTTAGAGACTTTTCCTAATGCTCTTTTGTCTACTCACACTTTTCAGAACAGATTCACTTACCCCCTTACACTTTATTTCTCCAGGATTCCTTAACAAGTAGAAGTGCCACATACAAGTTTTGTGGGTGTGCATGTAAGAATTATTGTGATATTTAAAGGTGCTATTGCTTGAAAATGTCATGTTAGTGATATGACACATGCATCGGTTTGCATACCGTATGTACGTGCACTTGTGCCATAGTTTGAACTAAGGGAGCTCAGTTGTCTTTGCTTGTAGATTATAGACACCTAGACAGCCAGTATTAAAAGCCAGATGCTGTGCCCATCCCAACATCCTCTCAAGCCTTGCATTTTTTATTACAGCCAAGAACAAACTTAATTTACTAGTGTAGATTATTCAGGTTGATGAAGTGTGAAACAGAAGTTGTATTTAACTTAGTTGCTAATTGGATGATGATGTATTTTGCTATATCCTGTGTGGATAGGACGGTTTAACTCAGTATTCCTTCCCTGCTTTTTGCTCGGCCATCTGGAATTCTGCTTGCATCACCTGGCCCTTGAATACCACTTTTGTGGGCCTGGTATAATAACAGGAATGAATGGGTGAGGGAAATAGAGCTGCTATTACAGAGTAAATGGGCATAAAAAGTTGACTCAAAATGGTCAATCATTTACTCTGCCCAACTTTATCTTCTCTCCTGTAACTTTGAGTGAACTTTCTGTGCTTGTATCTTTGTTCAGAAACTGTTGGAGATAGAGCTGTTTTATTTTGCTGGTGACAGTTTGGAGCGCTGGTCGCTTGAGAGCTAGGCAGGTTTATGCCAGTTACAGTGTCTGAAGTACTTATTGCGTTTAATAAATTGCTTCTCAATTACTACTTTTTCTGAAATGGAAAACCCTGTTCTTCCTGTCTCTTCATTCACTTGGCTGCTCTCTCTTTACCTAGCTTTTGACACCTGGTCTTGCATTAACATTCAGTAATGATGTTTGTCTGCAATGGTGTTACAGGCTTCCAAATGGAACCATGCCAAAGCTAGTGATCGCTATTGCAGATGTATATAGACTGAATGCTGCAAGGCCGTTTGAATTTCACTTGGGGTTTTTCCATTGTTTACTGATTTTACTGCTAGTGCTCGGAGGGGGAAATGAACGTGCCATTTTGGCCTAGCGGTTTTATAGTATAATCACAGTTTTTGAGTTCAAAGTAGGGCATAAACCAGTTGCTTGGGCAATCTAACTTTATGTGTGAAGTCCTTCAAAATATGACTTCTGCCCTTTTGCCCTCAGGCAGTTTTCAAGAGTCTACATTTAAACTGAAAATTTGGTTTGATGAAAGTCCTTCATTTGGAGACTAGACTGAGAATCTAAATCGGTTGGCTACTCTGGACATGGGATTCCTTTTGCTACCAGTCACGATAATGCTACTACTGGCTTTCTTATACTGTCTATCTAATGCCAGCATAGAGGAACATCCGTGTGTATCTTAACTTTGACTACCATGGCTTTACTCTTTGTATTGCTCAAAAGCTGTTTCCTGAGAGCTCAGCTTTATGAAGCATCTCTGCCCCTACAGAATACCTTCTCCTTTCAGTCACTTAATCTTTGAACACTAAATTAACATAGTCATTAACATAATCCCTAGATAAAATGGTTGAAGCTGGGAGTGGGTGACAGGGGATGGGTCACTTGATGGTTAGCTGTTCTGTTCGTTCCCTCTGAAGCACCTGGCATTGGCCACTGTCAGAAGACAGGATACTGGGCTAGATGGACCTTTGGTCTGACCCAGTGTGGCGGTTCTTATGACCTAAAACCAGAAACATTCAGAACTCCTGTCCTCTGTCTGCCATCCAGTAATGTGCTAATCCTTATTACATCATAATGGTGGTTACCCTGCTAACTTATATGGAATTTAAAATTTAATTATTCATTAATAAATCAGAGTGTATGGGGAAATGCTAGGAGGTCTTACAAATAAATCAGGCCTTTAGGCAAAGCTTTATTTTTCCTTAAGGAGCAGCGTGCTATCCTTCTCTTTTGTTTCGCTTCTCTTCTCCACACCCTAAACCAATGGCAACAATCAGGGTCATCTACCTGCATTAGTGGCGATACTAGCAAGAGAACATCTGATAGTAATGCATTGCAATCTGTAAATATCAATATCCTGCATATACAGTATTCCGTTACTACAGAAGCTTTTCAGACTCTGTTTATTTCTTTTTAATATACAACAGGTCAGACTTTGGATCTCAAGTTGCTCGTGTCTTCCTTTGTTAAAAATACTCCAGTAATTGCAACATCCCTTTTGCTTATCAAGAACTTAACCATTAATCTTAAAATTGCAGATGCTCACAGCCTAGATTCCAGCCGATATGCTATACTTGCAGCAGATCTTCGAGAGGCAGCAGAGCTGGAGGAAAAACTAAAGAAATTTAACATGGATACACAGTAAGATAATCTGTTTCAAAGGTTTGTGGAAATGTACTGGAGAAAGTAAAATCTGTTTTGGGAGTACAGTAACCGCCTCCAGTTTTTATTATGCCATTTCCATGGTTACCTTGTTCTGAATCCTTTGAGCAGAAGGAATTGTGCAGATACTGTGTAGCTTCACTGAGCAGGCTGCTGGTGCAGTCATTGCCTGCATATTTCCAAGTCCTAATCAGGATAGTCCTCGTCTTCAGCCCGTTTCTGCAAGATTCACACTCTTCCTCCATGAGAACATCAAACCTCTTAGAGGAAAATCCACTAGATCATAGATCAGCTCTGTAAGTATGTGTAGTTCGTTTATAATACCTGGGATTATAAATATCGCTTGATTAAAATAAGAACACTGACACATTGCCCAACTGTTGCCATTCTGAATGGCCTCTTTTAGAAGCTGGGTTCATTGCGTTTGGTTAATGATTAGTGACTAAATCACTATATGCTCCTTATATCGGTGAACTGTCAGAGGCCACTGTCCAGGAGAGTCTGGAACCCAACGACAGTACTTGATAGAATAAAGACTCTAACATACATGGAATTACTCTTCCGGGTGTTTACTCATGCAGCTTGTTTTCTATGCCTCTTTGTAAGGTCAATCTATTTCCTAAGACTATTTTTATTTTTTTCCTGAGGTGGGGAATGGGAGAATCTGTCAAGAACTCTATCCTGGAGGTAGAATCTGGGATTTTGTTGCTCATAAACTATGCACTTAAGTTTCCATGCTCGAGCCCAGAGAGCTTTGATGGATGCCATTTCCAAAGTGATAGATGCCCTTTCCAAATCTGAGAGAGAAACAGAGCATCGCTAGTAGGGAAAAGGCAGGTGGGATAGTCAGGATGTATTAAGCTTTCATTTAGATTTTTGCACTTTCATCTTAAAAGCACTGTCCCTGCTTATCTACACAACTCCTTGTGAAATTACTTTTGTTTCTAGTGATGACGGTATCAAAAAGCAAACTTCTTACTTGTAGGCAGAATTACTCATGTCGATATTTGCATTTCTCAGTGTGGATGGAGGGGAAAAGAGAAGTGATAGCTGAATCATAGCTAGCAAATCGTGATCTAGTACTATCAAGGCCTTTTTGCTGGTCCTCGTCTGTATGTGGCTGTCCTCAAAATGTTCCCCTCTTAAATATTACGTGCAGAGAGATACTTTTGCTGCGTGAAAGGAGTAGAGCAGGGAGCATGTACTCCTCAGAAACAGACTTCAAGATCCATTGAAGTCCACATCTCCACAGAATATACACAGCCTCCAGCTCCTCCTATGGCAAAGGAGAATTAAGATTCCAGATGTGATAGTGAAAGTGAAGTATCCATATTGCCTTTGCTGATCAAGACAAAATTGCAGGATGAAGAGGGGACAAGCTCTTGCCAATACCTGGTTTGCTACTGGGGAAGGGACAGGCCAGGGTAAAGAACAGAACCTAGTAGTCATGAACAGGGGCTCATGACACCTCCCTTTCATTATGGCTAGATGGGAAAGGGGCCTTGTACCTCTTTTTCTGTTGTAATGTGGGGTCATGGTATAGAAAAGATTAGGAAACCACTGGAATAGAAAAGTTTACAATTCCTGTACAAGTAACCTTGCATTCCTAGTATCACCTGGAAAGGCTGGAGACCCAATCCTAGCCTTTGCATGGTAAAATGATTCATTCCTCAATGAATATCTGTTTCATTGAGATGTGGAGTGTCCCTAACTGGTTCACATGTGCATGTGAAAGCACTTGTCTGTTGCTCACCATTCTTGAATGATATGTAGTAGAAACAGTTTGATCTTTTCTTTCTCTCTCCCCCTCCCCCCCCTTTGTTTTTTAAAGATTGCCTACGCTCCTGATAGCAGAGTGTGTGCTGGTTTATATGACCCCCGAGCAGTCCGCAAGTCTTCTAAAGTGGGCAGCGAACACTTTTCAGACGGCTATGGTTATAAACTATGAGCAGGTAAAAGGAAAAAGATGTAGCTTTTCACTGCTGCATTATTTGCATAGAAAACTCTGAGAGCAGTGGGAATTTTGCATGTAAAATGATGATAGATTACAACTTTGTAGACTTTTCTAATCAGAACTCTGCAAATTCAGGATTTAGCTGGCTTTTGGGTTAGAATTCTAGAAATGGTAGGGCTGGAAGGGATCTCAAGGTCTGTCTCATCTATCCCCCTGCATGAGGTAGGAGTATGTGTACCTAGACCATCCCTGACAGGTGTTGGTCTAACTTATTCTTAAATACCTCCAATGCAGGGGAGGCTATGGGACTGACCTCAGGTATTGGGTAACAAATAGCTACAAATGCATGTTCTGGTGAATGGCTGATTTGTGTCATTTTGTACCAAAATAGTTTCTCTGAAATAAAACAACTGAGACTTTTTTTAAATCTGGATTAATCCGATTTTGGAAAGAAACTAAGATGATGGGTTACAGATGGCACAATTCAATGAAATGGCACTGAGTGATGTTATATAAGCTTATTACATTTTATAGTATCACTCCTTTGGCACCATTGAAAATGGAGCAAACATTGCATCAGCCTTCGCTGAGCCGTTCTGTGTGAAAGTGAAAAGCTGCCTTTTGGGACGTAGTAATGAACCTTCCACCTTGTAAGTTATTGATCTGAATCTAAACCAAGTTGGGAGCAACCAGAAGTCATGGCTCTGTTAGTTTTAATTGGTCTGTGAACAGCATTGGCAGGCCTCCAGTCCAGTTGTCAATGCTCAGTTACCCACAGAAGGAAAACCACCACCCCATGTACATTAAACTGGTCCCCTTGATGGCCGTCGTGATTGAGGGGCCAAGGATTTGACGTGGCCGTGGACACGCGGAGTGAGAGCTGAGGCATGCTGGCAGGAAAACACGTGAAAAGCTTGCACTGCCTGTGCTGTGAAACTTCTGGGGCTAATTGGAGGGTTTTGACTCCTTCTGAGTGACCAGTTTCCACTGTAGCTAAATCCCCTTTCAGAGTGAGAAATGACACCTTTTGTCACCTCCTTTCCAAGGTGAACATGGCTGATAGATTTGGGCAGATCATGATTGAGAATTTGCAGAGAAGACAGTGCAGCCTGGCTGGAGTGGAAGCCTGCAAATCCTTAGACTCTCAGGTGAGTGCAGCCCCCACAGAGCAGTGAGTCTCGTTGATACTTAACAATCAATCTAATGGGAAGCTTTATCTTCTCCAGATATGGCAGTTAAGACCCAGACCAATGAATAGCCGCTGTGTGCGCCCTAACCTGCCTCTGCCAATACAAATACTTTCTATTCCCGGTCATCATCGTCCTTAAGAATTACCCCTCTCTGTTTCATAGACATCGTTCATCTCCTGTATCCAGCGAGTGAAAAAGTGACTGTTTTTTGAGAAAAGCAAAAAATCTTACCCTCAATTTGAGGCTTATTAGGAATCTTAATTTCCATTCATCAGAAGCGATTTTTTTCATCCGATACTTGCAGTGTCAGAGAGTAGGTCTCCTGTCTTAATGCAAATAGCCCTCCTAGCAAATGCTAAGGAAAAGACTGGGCACTTGCCTTTCCTTCACTTTCCTTCTCAAGTTCTCTGAGCACTTCACTTTCCCTTCGTTTTACAGAGGGAGCGGTTACTGTTAAATGGCTGGGAAACTGCAAATGCCATTGATATGATGAAAGTCTACAGCTACTTGCCACAGGCTGATGTCAAAAGGTACTGCTAACTGCTTGCTTGTAGGCAGAACTCCCCTTTAAATGTTTCCACCATAGCTCATCTCAATCACTTGTTTGGCATCTGTAATACATAGCACCACCTTCCTGAGCTCTCCTTGTATCTCTTGAGCTAAGCGAGGTTTATCTAAGGGTATGTCTACACTCAGAGTTTTTGCGCTATAAGTTTCACCGGTGATAGGGAACCAGTGAAAGTAAAGCACTGGTTTGTGTGCTCACTCAATTCCTCAGGCCTTGGAGAGCGTTTACGCTACCAGCACTTCCATCACTGATGAGAGCAGTGCTGTAGGTCTTGCGGGAAGGGAGGCGTGAGCGGAAGGCATTTGGGGTCCCTGCTCAGTGCCCCGTGCTGCCCTGCTTCATGTCTCAGGAACCCCATTACTTCCTTGTTTCTTCTGGGGCATTTTTTTTTTTAAACCTCCTGCTGTCTGGCTGCTTTCCCCGCCACATCTACAAACAAAGGGAAAGGGAGCTTTAAACTTCCCGGGGCTTACAGAGGGAAGGGCGGACATCCTATGCGTCAGAGTAGCGGAGATGCTGGCCAGAGTGGTCACTTTTGGAACTGTGGAATATCCTTTGGAGGCCAAAAGGAGTTTACGCTGGTAGAACATGTCTTCACTTTCACAGCAGTGCAGAAAGAACAGTGGTAAGAGCTATATGCCTCTCGTGAAGATGGGTTTTCTTTTTGCGATGAAACTTCTGAGTTTGACTGCAAAAAGTCATTAACAAGTGTAGCCGCTCCTGTGGCTTTAGTGCAAAAAAGGGACTTTTTTCGCTTTAAATGGTAAGTGTAGGACCTGTAGGAATGCTGAGTACAGGAATTAAAGTTCCTTTGGCATTCCTTGTAAGGGCCTAAGCCACTGCAGTGATGGGTGAGCTAGAAGTACGTAGGGCTAGCTTGTGACTCATTCTACATGCTCACACCAGGGAGTCAGAACTCCCCTTACCCAGATCTTTGATTCAGACCTGTAGAGTAATCAAGGGTTTGTGTCTGCTTCCTCCCTCTCTGGAGCAAGTGGGTGGGGAATGGTCAGCCTCTGTTCCATTCCCCCTGCTGGCTGGGTAAGGTAGCTGAGCCAGGGCAGGGTGGATACTGCTGCTATAAGCCAACAATACATAGCTGCATCTCATGAGTAATGAAGCAGGAGAGGACTTGCAATGTGGAGGGGAGTGTCTGGGTCACAGTGGGTTGATGGTGCTTACGCACTTTGCCTTGCTCAGATCTAAGGGCAGAGTCTAGCCCATGGAGCATAAACTGCGAGTGTCTTGCGTCCTCGATAAACTCCAGTTGGGCAATTGCATTCTACCTACAGTTTGAACTGATAGAGTTGTATCTATCCTTCGGTTGACAGAAACGGTTACATAGTGTTGCTGCTGGCTGTTAAACATCTGCCGTGCCCCCACCCAGCGGTGCCATTTCCCTGCTGAGTGGCAAAGTGATCTATTTTATACGTTTGCTTTTATAAAGTAGATTTTCATCTGCGCTTTCCTTCCCAAAGTGAGCCATTGCCATTCACTACCGTTGGATTATTCATGAAATAAGCTTTCTGGGCATGAGGCCATCTCCACAATCAGAGATGTCAGTTTAAGTCCTTAATGTGAAAAAGAACGAGACATTTAAAAACTTATCTAAGTAACTTGCTCAATGTTTAATCAGAATTGCAGGCCATTTAGACGTCAGTCGTCCGCTGCAGTTTGAGCTGGCCAACTAGATTATTTTGATCAAAATAAACATTCACATATGGAGATTTCCCAAACCATGAGATTGTAAATCGTATGCGGTCCAAGTCTGGGTGACCAGGTTGTGTTTTCTCAATCTGTTACTGAAGTGTAAAACATTTCTTCCTTACCTTCTAACAGGGTAAAAAACGTTGACTGTTCAGTTCCTTTTGTCTGTCCCAGGTGCCCGTGAAAAAGCTACCCCAGTTCTCTGACCTTCAGTGAGGAGAATAATGCCTTTTATTTCTACAGCATCTTTTATCCTGAATGATTTTACAGTGTTTACTGACATGGTGTGTGCACTATGGTAATATCAATAATTATACACATCTCATCCATAAGATTTGGGAGTGTGGCCAGTCACTTGCTGACACAGGAAGGTGGTTATTGGGAGCCATGATGGCCTTCAGAAAAACTCTACTGCAAAGCAATGAAACTTCCCCTTTTTCTGGACAATGGCAATGAGTAAATATTGTGGCTTTGATGGGAGTATAGTCTGAAATGATAGCCTAGAATCATTCATCAGGATATAGGTTCCTTTCATCAGTCTATAGTATTACGTCACCACAAACCTGATGTCACATGTACTTTAGCAAAAGAGATGAATAAAAAATATGTATCGTACTATAAAGATGCATGATTTAGCATTGGTACACTGAATCCCAGCAGTTAGAAGGGAGGGGAGGGGGCAAGGGTAGTATATAAAAAATCACACTTAGGGATGCACGTTGGTAGTTATTGCACAACTTACTTGGGGCCTTAAGAAACCTTCCCTTTAAACAGTGAGATCAGGCATCCCTGGCTGCTGTACGTTCCGTCCTGAGCAAAGGCTCGGAGCACTGGCATTTCCCCTTTTGTACATATTCGTATACCAAAAAGAAAACTTTTACTACAGAAACTGCTCACTTCTGGGGAATAAAGAGACGTGTTACAAAATGCACAAGGAAGATTCAGTTTTAAACCATCATTTCTATTTCCCTGCAGAATAGAGGGACTCGAATTCCTCGACGAAAAGGAACTCCTTGAACAACTCATGCAGCATTACTGCATCTGCTGGGCTACAAAAGATAGCTGTAATCTGGGTAATGTTTCTTTAAGTTTTAGGGTGTCTGTTTAAAGCTTGGCAAGGCTGCCTGCATACATCAGATCTATCACTGGAGTCTCCAGCAGCAGGACCTGGGGGCAGCTTCTCTACCCTTGTATGGCAGTGGGCACCTACCTGATGGTGACTAGACAAGTGCCTCTTGCTCCACACCCTCCAAGGGTTTGTACAGACACTCAATCTGTGTCGTCTCCCACCCCCCCACCCCCCGGAAATCCATCCAAGTAGATCAGGGTTAGGGTTTTTAAATTAGAGACCTTAAATAAGCTTTATGGCAATTGCCAGCTTGTGATGGGTGTCAGAGCTAATAAAGTGGGTTCCAAAGTCCTGCGCACTTAGAGTGCTGTATAAATGAATAAACAGTCTGGTTTCATAGTGACTTGACAGCACTGAAATGCGCTCTCTCTCTTCATTAGCTTAGTCTTTTTGACATAGTTTATCAGAAAATGCCAATATGTTGAAACCAACACTTATTGCGGGAATATATCAAAAAGAGAGAGGGAGCCCAACCCACCCCTGAATAGCCCAGTGACTAGGGCACTTGCCTGGAAAGTAGGAAACCTGGGTTCATGTCCCTGCTCTGAATCAGGTGAATATCCTAACCACTGGGCTGTTGGCTAGTCTGGGGTGGGTGTGTGTCTCCTCCAGTTTTTTACAAAAAAAATTCCAAAGGTCTCTGGTTTGTCTTGATGCAGAATGGGAAACATTGTCAAAAGCTCATATTTTTGCAGAATGGGAAAATGGTTTTCTGACTAGTTCTAGTTAGAACTACTCTACTGCAGAATTTCATAGGCTGCTTGATAGTTTGAATATTCCCCAAAAGCTTCTCCAGCTGCGTAACCCAAGAAAAAATGGCAGGGAATCCGTTATTCCCAATTGTCCATTAGGTGCAAAAGAGTAAGATTCTAAAGTAATCTTCCTTCATGCTCTTCGTCATTAACTCTTAGTGGGAGAAAACTCTTCCAAAGGGTTTCCCATATATCCTAGCCAGGCTGGGTGTGGAATAGTTGATCTGGCTGATGAAGCTAGATCTAAAGCTCTCCTTTGCTGCAGCGTAACAGCTGCTGGCCTATGCTGTCTGCTAAGCAGAGCCTACAACCTTTGTGAGTAAGGTGCAGGGATGCATGGTTCCCCATTGATGAGAAGTTGATGACCATGTAGAATTATATCTTGAGGAGTTCAGCACAAAAAGTTCACCTCTCTCCAGTAATATTGGCTAGTGTTATCTCTCTGCTGTGCTTCACTCTGATTAGAGTGATAGGCTGCCCTTCGTTCACAGGGCCTCTTGTTATCAGCAGGAGCTGTATGTGCAGGGACTGAATGGTACAGCATATCCAAGAAGTGCAGAGAGACCAGACTTGTTTGTTATCTCCATTGGCTAATCCTAATATAAATGTACTGGTTCTTTGTCCTGCCTGATTGTAAGGCCTCGAGCAGTGAGACTTCCACCCTTTCCTTTGTGGAGCAGACTGATCGCTCCCATTGTCAGAAAGTGGCCTGTTTCTTACCCTGAACCTGTACTTTCCTGTTCTTGCCCTGAGTCCTTACCTCCCAGCTCCACGTTTGTTCTACCCAAGGTAAATCCTCACTTTCCTTCAAATTGGTTTAAACCCTTCAAATATTTGCAGACTTGCCATGTGGCTTTCTCTTAGCCAGGCTACTGGATTCTTTTACTCTTTCCTCACAAATCAATCCTTCTAATCCTATACATTGGTTCTGTGCCGTTTTCCTGGGCTTCTTCCTGTTTGTTAATAGAGTGGCGGCTATGCTAGAAACTATATGGAGAGGGGCTAGACTCTTTCTGCTTTGTTCCATTGCTGCCCACTATCACCCATGCTGTGTCTTGCTTTTCACGTTCTATGGCCCTTAAAATGCAGTACTGGAGGGAATAAAAGATTATGGTGTCTGGAGAACGTGGGAATTCATTTCAACATCTTATTTAAATCACTGATGTTTAATTTCTCTTTGGTTGCAATATTGACCGTTTACCTTGCCCCCTATGCTCCTTAGATCCCAGACACTTGTTATAAACATCCCTTTCCTCCCAATAGCTGTTCTAATAGTAGTGAGTGTGGTTGGCATAGAAATATATTCTCCTTTCACTTTCTTTTCAAATAGGTCTTTCAAACATCACATTTTAAAGTATTCAATTCAAAGAAGCCGGGGGCACAGAAGCCAAAGCTGCCACCTACTGCTGGAGGGGAGCTCACGCAAACCATGGGACTGTGCATGTGAGGACTCCAGGCTGCTCATCCTCATAACAGCGCCAATGAAAAGAAAGTGACCAGTGCAGTGTTGCTGATGCTGACCCTTTCTTGTTGGCTTGTAATTGTTTTCATAAATCTCTACTGCCTTTGTGAGCAATCGTTCCGTTATGAGACTTTTTTCTCCCTTTTTCAGGGACTTGGTATGAGACTGTTTTTGAATGTCAAGAACTCCTGTTTAAAACATCCACTCCCTTTGTTTAAAGGGGAGAGCACTGTCTCCTTGGTCGTTTTACTTCTCCTGTGTGTCTCTCGGGATGTATGTGAAATGCGTTTGTGAAGGGAAGATGTGTAAGCTGTGCCGTGGGCTGCAGTAGTGGATGTTATGTTGTGGTGTTCACAGCTGATGATGGAGGGTATTTTTCTTCCATTCAGGTTTATTTATTTTTGTGAAAAGGTATCCTCTGGGCCTTCTCCAGGTTCAGGCTGTAGCGAGGTGGCTGCCATTTTACTCAATTTCTCACTGACTCTTGCTCAGCTGTGTTCAGGAAAACTGGCTGTATTCAGCAGGACTTTGAAAGTGGAAAGGTCTTGCTTTGTAGTCCAGCAGTGATGGCAAAGGTGAGAAATGGAGTGGAAGATGCAGAGCTCCAGCTGTGTCTTCACACTAGTCCCCCGCCCTCCAAAAAAAGCTACCTGAAATTGAGTCTTGCAACTTGCCTTCAAGAAGGGTAATAAATGTCTATTATAACCTGTCTAATGTCTTATTCATAATGGGAATATCTAATATTTAGACACTTTGACTTTCATCTCACCAGACACTTCAGCATTACCTCTAGTAATGGGTGCAAACAGATGCAGTTGTCTTAATATCCTACACTACTTTTTCCTAGTGCATAATACTTGGCTACACAATAGTTACCCTACTCACTGTATATTAACTGTTCCCTCCCCCCTGCCCATCCCTTTTTAGAATCTTACACTTATTATGTGACTTGAAAGATAAAATTGTGGTTCAGGGAAACAGCCACTGCATAGGTCTCCGTGCTTGTACTTTTCACTCTGCCAGTACAGAGCTGCTGAAGTAATTGGCGATTACAGTTTCCTCTGCTGCTGTCTGCGTCAAGCTATTTTCTTTAATCGCGAGGTATAAAGGCCATAAGTCGTTAATGCCTTGCTCACTGAATGTCTGTATTATTTACATTCCCTTCCCTGAAAGGAAAAAGCGAGACGGAGGGCCCCCTGCATACACGAGAGGAGCTTGCCTCTGTTTGCTCCCTAGATACTGATCTTCATGGCATGCTTATCCCCGTACCCATTACATGCTTTTGGCTTAAGTGTGCCTGTCTATCAACAGGCACGAGCAAGCTGTGTCTGCAACAGCCCTGACCCTTTGTGCTGACCTCCGTGTGCATGGGGACTAGAAAGGGAGGATTTAGCCTTGATTTTCCCATCTTCTTCACCTAAGTCTCTTCTTGTGCAGGAGGACCACCTCCAAAGAGCCTGGTACGCTTTTTGTCCTTTGCCATCCAGTGTCCTCCCTCTTGTCTGCTGGCTCACGGGCCCCTTCTGCTGCCTGGGGGCCGGGGCCGTTCAGTCAAGAGCAATGGGCTGCAGCCTCTGTGCTTCTATTACTTAGAATTGAATTCTTCCCGTGGTCCCATTCCCCCACCTCCACTATGTCGTGCATCCTAACGTAAGCACAGGGCCAAATTTGACAAAGATGGGTAACATATATATGTTAGACCCACTCTGTACATTATACATCTAGAAGAGCTCTAGGTGGCTTCAAAGCTCATCTGTCAGTCCAATTAAAGATATTACCTCACCTACCTTGGCTCACTTATGATTGTGGCAGATGGGCTTGTGACGGGTTAGATCACAGAAACCCCCTTGGGAGCTGCCACCTGCTGTGCTAAGACTACTTCTGCCCCTGCTTTCCCTGCCAGCTCGGGACCCCAGCACCCTGTCTTGCTGAACCAGACACGCCTGTCTGCTCCAGCAGAGACTCAGGGTCTGAATTACTTGCCCCAATGCTGCAGGCTTGACTGAAAGCAGCTTACAGAAGTGTTCCTGTCTTTAACACTCAAACCCAATGGGGTCTAAACCCAAATAAATCTGTTTTACCCTCTATAAAGCTTATACAGGGTAAACTCATAAATTGTTCGCCCTCTATAACACTGATAGAGAGGTATGCACAGCTGTTTGCCTCCCCAGGTATTAATACATACTCTGGGTTAATTAATAAGTAAAAAGTGATTTTATTAACTACAGAAAGTAGGATTTAAGTGGTTCCAAATAGTGACAGGCAGAACAAAGTGAATTACCAAGTAAAATAAAATAAAACACGCAAATCTAAACCTAATATAGTAATACAACTAAATACAGGTAAAAGCTCACCCTGAGAAATGTTTCAATACGTTTCTTTTACAGACTGGATGCCTTCCTAGTCTGGGCACAATCCTTACCCCTGGTCCAGCCCTTGTTCCAGCTCT